CCTGGCAGGCCGGTTGCCTTTTGTCTCTAACAAGATCTGCAGCCGCGCGGGCTCCTTTTGCTTCTTGTTATTGAAAAGCCTCTCTTCTTGAGGGCAACGGCTGCTTCTGTCTCACAGGAGAGCCCCTTCCTCAATTAAAGGGGGGAAAAAAAAAAGCCAACGCATTTATTTTGAAACAGCAGTGCAATTGGGAGAGTTCATTATATTGGATTAATTACGATAATTATCAGTAGAAGGGAGATAATTACCCTGTTTGTTGTTGAGAACAAGGTAAGGGGCTCTTTTTTTGTAATTATTATTGTCTTTTACAGAGACCAGCCTGGTTATGCGGTGTGGGAGCACAGAGGAGGCGAACGCCAGCACCGGGGCTTCACCCTCTCCCGCCTGAGCCCGCCCGCCGGCTGTGGCTCCCTGCTCCCCTGCTCGCTTCCCCAGCCCCGAGCCTCAGCTCAGAAGCATCCTCCCCTCCCAGCAATGCCCTGCGCTGCCCTGCCGCTCACACGAAATTGCCATCGCAACCCAGGCGGCTGCACAGGGTGAGTGCTCGTCCCCGGGAACGCCGGGAAGAGGGAGCGGGATGCGCTCGCTGGCATCATCGTTGGTGCAGGCGGTGGGGACGGCCAAAGCGCGCCCCGACTCCTGGCAAAGCTTCGCGCCGGTCGCTGGCCTCCTACCCCCGCGAAAGGAGAGAAGGCTCCTCGAGTCGTGGCTTCTAATGCAAATAAGAACGTAATTTAAAAATTAAATTTAAAATAAATATTAGTTAAATATTAAAGAGAAGAAATAATTTTTAAATGGCCGGCGTGTTTCTCAGTAACCCAACCAGGTATGTTTAAATAAGACACTGCAGAAAATTTTCAATTTTTACCATCCTAGGTATTTTAAAAAATGTTTCTTATAAGGCAAGCGTATATATTTTTCTGCTCTCTTAAGAGCTATTAATTTTAGCAGGCTTCCTCAGGCTAGCGGCATGGAAGGCTGCCCTTGTGGAAGAAGGGAGAAGGCGGTGGCGGCTGCGGGCCCCGGGTGATTTAGAGGAGCGGAGATCCCTGTTGCTGGCTCCTGGCCTGGTCCCGCAGCCAGCCACCTTCAGGCAAGCCGCCGCCTTTGCCCGGCCACGTTTCCGAATGCAAATGCTCGCGTAGCTCAGAAAGTGCGTGTCCTCGCGGTACCGAGACAAAGCCTTTGTCTGAGCGGGAGGACGTGGTTACGGTAGTTCCCCCTCGTCCCCGAGGTGCGCACAGCACCGATGCTCTGGGCACGCAAACCGGGAGGGACGCCACCGTTCCTCGTGCCGCAGGGGACGAGCTGGATGAGGAAAGCTTCTCCTCGTCCAACACACGCTGCGTGGAAGGTCCTTCACATCCCGGGCAGGGCGAGGGACTCGGATGGTGGGACAGAGAGCGCAGGGTGCAGTGGCAGACCAAGGCGGCAAAACTGGATTCAAGCGTTGGGGCTGGAGCAGCAGCAGTAGGACCGTCCTCTTTAGCTGAGGAGTGGCCTCAAGTGAACGTTTTGGGTCAAAATCCAAGTGAACGGGAGTCTCATGAAACCAACTCTCCTTTGCCGCTCCGCAGCTTCCAGTCCGCGCACAGCGGGGTGACGAGAGGTAGAAAAACCTCATCTTTGGTGGCAACAAAATTCAAAGTCCCGCTGACCCGAGGGGGAAATGGCTCTTCTCAAAGAGCCGTGCGAGGCTGGGACCTGCGGAGCTCCGGGCACGCGTTAGCTTCCCCCCGCTCCTGGCGCTGGGGTGCCAGACGCGCTCGCAGCACGCTGACGTCTGTGCTGCCGCGGGACGGAGGCCTGAAGGCGGGGGAGTTTATTGCACAGGGAACTCCTCGCTATGGCCTCTCTCCTCCTCCCATGGAGCTCGCCGGGAACTTCTGTACCAAATCCAACCATGCTGAAAACACACGCTTGCCTCCTGCACCTCGTGCTCAGCGGGAAAAAATGATGCTGAAGCTAACCACACCTTACCCTGCATGGCTGCAGTCAGCTGCAAGCGGGGAGCTGAGCGGGCAGAGTCTTTGAACCGATGATGTTCGTTGTGTCCAGTGGCCACGTCGCTAATTTTACTGAATTCTCCCTTCCTGAGCCTTTGGACTGTTACTCCCAAGGGGCGAAAAGCTCCGTGGAGACGCGTTAGGTCGGAGAGCCCTGTTTGGGGCTGCGCTAAGTGAGCCCCGAGGGGCACCTCGCCCCAGAGCCCCTTTCAGCCGTGCCCCCGGGTGGGTGTTCGGGGGGGAATAGGGAGCCCCGGGCGTGGGCAGGGTGCTCCCCCCGGGGAAAAGCCCCTTGCAGGGCCGGGGGTGCTGAGCCGTTTGCAGTGAGACCCCTGCCCCGGGGGATGCAGCCGCCGCACGGAGGCCCCCGG